GAAATTAAGACAGGAAATTCTGTGATGATCCCATTTTATGTTTGGAACAAAAAAGACAAAGTGCTACAGATACATGCATGCACACATCAATTTGACCGATCTCTTTCATAGAGCAATCTTCTACTTTTCATTCAAATGAAAACAAGTTTATTCGAATGAAAACAAGTTTATGTAACTCTCAAGCCGCCATTAACTTTTTTTTCTTCTTGTTTTTACTGTAAGACATGATCAGCAATATTCAGCAGGAAAGGAAAAAGGACACCAATGAGAGAGAGAGAGAGAGAGTTTAACCTGCTCAGAACTAATTGGAAGAGGTGCCATCAAGTTATGGTTAATATTCTGCTGCTGCGGTGGTGGTGGTTGTTGCTGCAGTTGCGTTTGTTGTTGCTCCTGATGACGCTCTTGTTTCAGTTGTTGTGATAATGGTGCAGTTCCAATGGAGCCCATTTGATAGATATCCTTCTCTTGATTCAGTTGAGAACCACCAGCCGTCGACGATGTTTCACTCATTGATCCACAAAGCCTTGAAGAAATGGGCATTGTTAAGCAGTCCAGGATCGCTGGAACCGTGCTAGGCATATCAAACAGTTGTGGGGAACTTCCACTACCTGATATTTTCATCGGTGAGAACATCCCGTACCCATCTTTTTGGTAATCATCCAAGAGTTCTTCAATCGCAGGCAACGAAAGACCCTGATCCGATTGCATAGACTGGTAATTTGGAGAGTTAAACACCTTATGAAGTGGGCTTTGCCCTCTTGATTTCAGGGTACTACTAAAAGCTCCAAGCTGAGATGAAAAGCGTGGAGGAGAGCACCCTGAAAGACTCTGCCCCTGCATTGCCTGAGGATAGTTGTAATTATAGTTGTAAGTTGAAATTTGTGGAGATGGCGAATTCCTCACTGGAGATGAGATCATGAAGTCACCATCTAAATGATCGGAAAAAAACGTCTCCCATATTGAACTGTCCGGTGACTGGATTTCAACATCCGCATCCAACTCAAATTTCAGAGGTGGGAAGTTGAGGCTTGGTGGAGTTAAGCTAGTATTTTGCTCCATGTCAGAAGATACAATACTTTTTTTAGTTTCTGAAACTGACTCATTTGGAGAAGTTGGTTGCAGTTTAGTGGTGGAATTCTCACTCTTAAGAGGAGCCATGCTTCCACAAAGTGAATTAATATCTTAATACAAATAATTCTCAGTACCCTAATACAGAAAACAACGATATATATTTTTTTTTTCTGCCGTATTTTCTCTTTTAGCTATAACTCTCTCTATTCTTGGTCCAGGATTTGGCCTCTATGGTTTAGAGGAAAAGGTAGAGAGTGTGGCTTTCACTCTTCTTATTTGCGCTAAACGGGCCCTTGTCACTTTGTCCAGATTGTCAAAGAAAGGGAAAGAGATTTGTGGACAAATCCAAATTCTGATTGTTTGTGATTGGAGGTTAGTGATATTAATCACCCCCAACTTCAATTCATCACCGCTCTCTACTATGTTTAGTTGTTTTCTAGAGATGAAATTTGTCATCTTTAGCCATCTCTTTTTAACTCAGCCTTGGAAGGCCTGTGGTTTTACTAAAGGACAATTTATTGGTTGGGTCCACTTTCCTTGGGCCGGCCCGGTTTGGAATAAGTGAGTTGGGAATTCCTTGGACCTTTTCTTGTGATAAAATATTAGAGATTATCGTTACTTTTGTATCAGAGATTGGAGATTGGTTAATATAGAATTATAGACAGGAGAAAATTAAGAAGGAAATTATATTAAAACGAAAAACGACAGGATAGGACCCATCAAATCTATTATAATTTTGCGAAAAGGACTTTAACAATGCACAATGACAGATGGGAACAAATAATTTTGCATTAACAAGAAGGCCCTTTGCTAATATCTATGGTGATTATTTCCACAAGTCAACACAAAGTTTAGCATTTTTACTTTTTCTCACAGTCCTTTTAAGCTGAATCAAATTAAATAACTGCTACATTTATCGAAGTCTTGTCATTAATACATCTATCATTGGTGGATCATAAGACATTTTTTTTGTTATACAATGAGAAACTCCTGATTCTATCATGGATAATAAGAAGGATTGAAGATTAGAATAAAAGTTTTTATACCCTTTATAGCTCAAATTTTAGACATATAGTGTATGCAGGCCGTGTTAATATACATAAAGATGAACAAAAATGGTGAAGATGGGGTGGTTCAAACTGGCTTAGAGAGAGTTTAAATGTATTGTGAGATATATTTACAGGGAAAGTTATTGTTAATATAAATGAGCGAACCATATATACATATGTAGAGTTGAGAAAATATAATGGAAAAAAGAGTGCAAAGGAGAAATTCATTTTGACTTCGGAGCTATAGGACGTGAGAGGGTGATGGAGCAAGAAGACAAAAGAGGAGACATTGGCAAGATCGTCGGATTTGGCGTCGGTGGCGCCGCCTACGCCTTGGATTTGCCAAAGGAAAGAAGCGTTTGTCTCTCTTAGGCGGCATTTCTCTTCCCTCTCGCATTTATATTATTAATTCTCTTTCTTTTCACAACGATCTTGCATGTCATTTTTTACAATATCAGTAGCCACGTACACTTTTCACCTCCAATCCAATAACAATTCTTGCCTCATGACTTGGAAACACAAACATTTCTATCTCTCGAGGAGGATAGGAAAACGAAATGAAATTACGTTATATGCATGTGTCCATCCACAAACGTCGAAGTTTTATTCTCTTCTTCTATTTGTCTCTTCGAACCCTAATTATCCTCCTCTGGAACTCCATCATTATGTACCGTATATTATATTGTGATTAATCTCTAAAAGACTAAAACAAAAACCTCATTTTACTCCAGATTTCATTACATCACTAGCTACCCATTATTTTATTGGGAAAAACAGTTCAATTCCTGGAAAGCATCGATCATTTTTAGAGCAATATTGGTTAAAGCATGGAAGTAATATTGAGTTTGTACATGTAGCTGTAAAAGCTACTTTTTAAAACTTAAAAATCTTGACCAAGTCTTAAGAAATTCTAGATTTTGGTGGTAAATATGGTTCATTTGGTAGTTATAAGAATTTCCATGTAGTCCATAACGTTTGATTGGTTGAAGAAATCATTCAAGAACGATTAAACTTGTTTTATAGCATGTTTTGACCTGCTAAAACGCGTTCTGATTGGCTTTAATATCATATATAGATATATATTCTGTTTCGTAGTGCCTTTAATATCATAAAGGCCACTACGAAACAGTAGTAAAAGCTATGCCCCAGACGGGACGTCCTTCATTCTGCAGCTTGGACTATTTGTAGCCGAAATTCTGGCCCCGTCAAACCACGGCTTTGAACAGAACTCTTATGGAAATCTTAACTGCATGTGTTGACTAAGTTTTGAATCTCTTTTGCCCAAAATAAAATGAACTGATAATTAATTTCTTCAATTTTGTATTGAACTTTGACAAATTTAGCCGCTGGTTTTTCAAGATGAAAAGACCGGTTTTTTGAAGGGCTCCATTTCGAATCAAGCTAAGGTTGAGATTATTAGAACCAAATAATAAGACATTTGTATTCATCAAATTATAAACTGATAACTTGTAGTTCTTTGTTTGTATTGTTATGGATCCATTTCTAAATGCTAGCTCTCCTTGGCCTGTGTCCCTGTGACAGGACCGAGTTTTTACATGCGTATGAAGGGAGGTTTGAGTCATGATTAAAAAAAAAAAGAAAAAAAATCTTTTTATGTGAATATAAATAGGTTCATGATGAAGCTTTTAGGGGAAAGAACGATGATTTTTGAGAGCCTACCTGACGTAAAACATCTAATAGATAAAGAAAAATGCTATCTTTACAAAGACTCATACAAAAAGGGTTACAAAGTGACATCATCAAGAAGAAAAAAATAAAGAAAAAACGGAAAAAGAGAAAGAGAGAGAGAAATCATGAAAATCAAAGGTGGGGATGTCCCCTTTGTATGTGTCTTTGTAAAACTAGCATTACTCATAGATAAATTCTCGGAGAAGGTTGAGCGTCAAAAACTCAAACACACGGCCCAAAAAGTCCTCAATCTTAAATGAGCATGTCAATTCAAAACAATTATAACTTTTGATGCAAGAGGAGTTACAAAGCTCATAAGATATTAACGGAAAGCTCATTTCGAGCCTAACGTGAAAATCAGGCTTTCCATCTGATGGTCTTGTTCAGGTCCAAAATCCACTGTTTTTGCGTGTTTTTGGGCCGTTTTAGTTTTTTCCACGTATTTTCTCATTCATTTTAAGATTTATTTCTTTTAAATAATTTATATTTTATTTCCTTATTTATTGGGAGTCTTGTTAGGGTTGACTGTCACCACCATATATAAACATATTATTCATTCTTTTTAATAATTATTCAGATTTTATTTTAAACTTTATGACTTAAGTTTCTGTGATTGAGATTTGTTTATTGATTCTAAAGATATAGTCGAATGTTAGCCTTGTTGTTACGCTACCTTGCTGTATCACTATCGAATTACACAAACTGAACTTGAATTGATTACAATGAGAACATAAATAACTCAAAATATTTTAAGAATTTATAAATAAAAATATAAAGACTTATAGTAAGAGTAGGTTGGGATGTTGATGATCATGATCGTCTTCTAAAGGCCTTTTAACGAAGCCCAGCTGCTTATAGTGATAAATTTCTTTAGCCCAGATCCATTTAAGAAAGTATGATAGATTGGTGTGGTCCAATAATCTTAAAAAGAAGAGCCATGTGGTCCAATTAGAAAATTTGTGAAATGTCATGTGATTGTCCCCCAGTTAACTTCCAGATACCAGCTTTATTGGCAGGCCAGGCTCTGATATTTGAATTTAATTCTTTCTGTGCCTTTATCCTTTTGCTTCTTTCTTTCGACCACATTACTGACAGTGAACTATTTAATATATATTCTACATGGGATTCCTTTCACTTTCCTTATTGCTGCCTCTCATTTACTTAGTTCACGGGCACTTCACTTCAGTCTCTCCGATTTATGGAGGCAGGTAAAATAACTACACCTAAAATGCCTTATCTAATCCTGTTGCAACATTAAGCATAAACTGGGTTTTGACACAAATGCAGCTAAGAAATCTGTGATGGAGAAGCCAGCACTGCGCTGGAAGACCTTCAATTTTCTTCATGAAAATGCTTTCGATCAAAAGGGCGAGAAGTTCCAGGTTAGTTTACAATTGCAAACACTCAACTCAACATCATTTTCTTCAGTTAGCATGTGCATTTTCTGTCATTCAGAAGAAGAAAATGCAAGCTCCAAGCTCCAAGTTGATGATAACTCAAAATCATCCATATCCTTTTAACATCGAAGGGCACGTGAGTAACATCAATACCCGCATCTTCTTCTTCAATGCCCTCATCAATCAATGCAACCAACACACAATTTCACAGACGCCAGCAATAAATTCACTTAGCCAATAGGCGGGATTGGCCTTAGATTAGACTAGATTCAAACATCAAGTTACAAAGCGTTAAACACTACAGGAGAAAGATTAGTATGAGCTAAATAGCTAAAAAGCAAGGAATCTTTACATAGCTTGAACTTCTGTTTTGAGCTATTCAGGAACTCTCATGAACTTCAAATCAAAAGCCCCACAACCATGAATCTGACAAAAACAAGCAACTCACTCTCTTAATAAAGAAGCGACTCTCCCTTCTCTCTCCTACACATCAATTCCATATCTGCCAATTTACATTCACATGTCTTTGTTTTCTTGTGAAAAAGATAAATCTCCTCAACTTGTTGCTTACAGTTGGATCTCCACCAACTACTGCCACTCTTTATCCACACGATTAAATCATCTTCAACTAGTACATGAAATGAATATCTATATCTATATATATATATATATGATAATGCTTTGTAAGCTATTTCTCTAAAACCAATATCTATTTGCAGACAGTCCAGTCATGTGGAAGTTCCTCTCTTATCTCCTAAAATCTGGCACCATGAACCTGATAAGTTTCTTTGTTATTTCAACTTTGTTTAGTAGGACTCTGTCTCGGGAAATTCAGCCAAGTAAAAGGATCAATGCTCATATCACTGTAATGGGTTTTGTTTATTGTGACATCTGCTCCAACAACACCTTCTCAAAATACAGCTACTTCATTCCAGGTAAAAAAATTCAACAACACAGCATCCATCAATGAAAAGTTTCAACTTTTCATGTACTTTTTACCTGAACGAACTGAATTTTTACTGTCTCTTGTGTTGTGCACTGTCTAATTAACCAGGTGCAGAAGTCCAAATTGATTGCAAATTCAAAGCGAGTTCACCAAGAACCAAAGAACAAATAACATTCTCAGTGAATAGAACTACAAACAGACATGGAGTTTACAGGTTAGATATACCATCTGTTGATGGAATTGCATGCGCAGAAGCGGCTATTGCATCCACATGCGAGGCAAGGTTAATGTGGAGTTCATTGGATTCATGTAATGTTCCTGGTTACAGAACCACAACCAATCAGATAGCATTCAAATCCAAGCAAGCCAATCTCTGCATCTACAGTCTATTTCCACTGAATTTCAGACCATCAAAGATTGATACTAGTCTATGTGGAAACTAGAAAGACGACTTCTCAGGTTCTCCACTGTCATTATAATTTCCTAAATTACTACCCTTTTGGCTTTTGCTTTATTGACTTCACTTAAAATTGAGAATACATGATCATCTGTTATCCATCATCACCATATCATGTTCCTATCTGCACATAATACAAGAAATGCAGTGCTTTACATATCCTTCTGCCTTCCGGGGTTACTTTATATAGATTATTTTATTACAGTATATAAAATTTATGTAGTATTTGCAGAATTAAGAATTAAACAGATATAGAAACATCATACTCACAAGATGTTTCCCCTGGTTCCTAATATTTTATTATAATTAATGGTGGGATTGGAACATCTTGTCCCATGGCTGGCTCCTCGGCTCCAACCAAAACAGTATATCTAACCAGCAATAGCATTAATTAAGGGTGGGATTGGAACGTCTGTTTAATTTTTAGTTCTTCAAATACTACATAAATTTTATGTACTGTAATAAAATAATAAGGGTGGGATTGAAACATCTTGTCTCATGGCTGGCTCCATGGCAGCAACCAAACCAGTATATGTAACCAGCAGTAGCATTAATTAAGAAGAGAAAACAGAATTATATGATTAGATTTATATGGACAGAGACGGGCAGGGAGTTCAAAGTGACGATGAAAGAGTTTGTAGTAAGACTACAAAGAGGGTCCAAAAAAATTATTTAAAGCTATTAATGGTTGAGCTACAAGGGTAGGATTTTGTTGTACATAAAAAACTGGTAATTTCACTCTGGAATTACGTCTTCATCATTACGAACATGATTAATAATGACTCTTATCATCGTCTGTCATGGGCCAAAAACAAAACAGAAAAATGCCTACCACACCAGTTCAACTAAGTCAGTCCTCAGAGCGAAATCATGCACCTTAACGCTAAAGTAAGAGAATTTCCCTAAAGAAGTCACCTGAGCAGATCTACAAGCACAATGATATGTGACTTTTCCTGGTCCTGGGAAATAACAAAATGACTATTGGGTGGGAAAAGGGTTAATGAATTTCATATTCCACGCTTTCAAGTTTCAGGATCACCAAAGTTCAGGTACTAACAATAGAAAGATGACTTATGGTGGTAATTATCTGAAAAATAAAAAAGGTTGGTGATTACTGCACTAGACCCGAGTCGAGTGAAACGCTAATGGAGTCCATCATTATAGGGCCGATCGAAGAAGTATTGGGCCGGGGCTATTAATTCTAAACTTGCCTTGAAGGCTGGAAGCCTGAAAATTTTGATGCCAAGTGAAGTATGAACAGAATTACTTGTGTATGGAGAAGTACAAACATCAATTATGTTCTTCTTGTAAACAAACTTTCTTTTTCTTCTTTAATAAACATTTCACTTTCACCTGAGTGAGGAAATTTAATCCCAGATCAGAGTTAACAAGCATCACCGAAAGAATCAAAGCACAAGTAGTCAAAAAATTACAAAATGCACAATCTAACAAAATTTTTAGAGAATATTTGGTAGCACCAGAAAGCTTCCTTAGGTAGGCCCTTCAGTTGTATTTTATTTTGCTCAAAATTTGTTTTACTCTAGTGATGTTTGATGCCTAGTCATAGAGGTTGAGTCAGCTTCCGGTTCATTTGCCCCATAATCAATAATTATTCCAGCTGTGTTGAGGTAGTCAAAGATAGTTAATTCTTCTTTCTAATCATTGATAACTTAACTTAAGATTTGGAGAGCAATAAGTTGGTGAACAAAAGGAAGATTGAAGATGAACAAGAAAAGAGAGGAAATTGTAATTTGATGAAGAAAGGTCACTATAAAATTGAAGTTGAAGTTTAAGGAGTTTGAAAGTCAGTTGTTGGGTGATTTTTAGTTAAATGAAAGAATCCCTTGAAATTTTCTTACTTCTTGGAGATTTTAAAATTATTAATCAAAGTTTTTTAATACTTAAATTCCATGATCTCTTGTATATTCTAAATGACCATTAGCATAATTTAATGCCAAAATTATCATGTCATTTTTATTCCCGTTCGGTTTGGCAATTACCCAGGAAAGAAAAATGACACATTTCAGATTTAATAATCCATAAATAAATAAAAATCATAAGTCATGTAACATTGCAATGAATGTATTAAGTATAAGGAAAATCACATGATCAAGTACTGAAATTAAATAGTTGTCGATACAAATTCCATGTAAATCCCGACAAAGGAAAAAAAATAAAGAAAGACTAATATAGCTGAAATTGGCTTTAAACCTTGGTCCAGTCCTCACAAATTCAGCCTCAATGATCTTCAACCTCTGGATAGTACTTGGTCATGCTTGTTTTTTCTTCCCACAGCACAATACACATACATATAGAGTTCTAAATGACAGAAACAAATTGAACCACAACAGTATAACATTATGAAAATAACACCATAAATTTTTAATTTAAAATGAACATGATGAGATAATTTGTACTCTAGAGTTGCATAAGTTCCTGGAAGATCTTCATGGAAGAAGCCGGCAAGCCAAGAAGCACATTTATGCTTTTCCTTTCTTTTCCATGAGATAGGAACAAGATCACTTCCTTCTCTGGCAACGCCACTGGCCCTGATAGAACTGGCTCTCCCCACCCGAAATCCGTTGTGTGAAAAGATAGCCTTGACCAAGTAGTTATCAAAAGTGTGGAAGATAGAGAAGGCCTTGTTCTTGTTGCTTCGAAGTAATCGATGGCAGATCTCATGTAACTATCTGTAACCATCTTGATTGCCTCCTGAACTTGTCCCACCGCAAACGAGAGTGGTTTTTCCATTAGATCACCGGCTTGGCATATAGCATTTGTCAACACAATTCCATTCCCACAGTAGCCTTTTGGTAGTGGTGGGTTGAATTTAGGCCGGCCATCAACAGCAAACAGAAGTTTTGCAAGTTGGTCAGGGAAAAATTTTAATGCCTTGGTCCGAGCCTTCCACACAAAAGCTGAAAGTGCTTCAAAAGTAGTGCACCTGTCAAGAGCTTCATCTTCCATTGCTTTCATCTTGATTTTTTCAAGCTTTTCAGGGTCAAAACAGAAGGACCTGTAGAGCATTTCATCTTTGTAGAGGTCACTAGTGCCAGACTTATCTTCTATCTCTGCGAATTCTTGGTGCAAATACTCGATCTTTGGTGGGTTCCTGGCTTGGAGAATCTTTCTATCGAGGAATGGTGGGACGTTTAATGGCACACCTCTTGCTGTTTCACCCCATGAGTTTACAAATTCCATGGCACCAATTCCATCAAACATACAATGGTTCATGCACAGCCCAAGAACAAACCCTCCACATTTGAACCTGGTCACCTGAAAAAATAATAAATGAATAAATAAAAAAGAGATTAAGATAGCTGTGATCAATTTCCGCAAACCACATAGAGATAATTTAAAAAACCTGAGCCACAAGTGGGGGCATCTCTAGTATATTTTTCGCCCCAGGAATGTCATAAACCAGTTTTCCAAGAGTCTCAGGATCTGGCTTTGTTATGTCTCCGATCTCTTCCATTGAACAGTTAGCTTCAGCCTCAACAAACACAGCCCCTTCCCCGGTGCAATTTATGATAAGCTTTCCCTCCGCGCTTATTGTTAGACGACCAGCAAGCGGGTAGTAGTGAACAAGAACCTTTTCCAAGGCGTTCTTGATCACTTCTCCAGACTTTTCATTTCCTTTCTCATTTGACTCGAAACAATAGATAGTTCGGACGATCACAGCAATGTTTTGATCAAGGTTTGAAAGGAAGTACAGACCTTTCTCTGTCTCCTCCGCAGGGGTAACTAAAGTTGGCTCACCTTGCTTCACACAAAGCTGAAACGCATTGCCATAGCCATTAGACTTCTCCATCACAACAGACTCTTCAAGCTCAATACCCTGAAGCATAAAAAGCAAGAAAAGATGGAAACTTATGAAGAGAAACAAAAGTCAAAACTAAAGCAGCATGTAGAATTTATTGATTCTGAAAAACAAACCATGTGAACTCGCTGTGATATTAAAGTAGCTGAGGAGAATGCTCCGAACTGAGTGCAAGAAATTTCCCAAATGATAATCAAACACACAAGGATTGCATTCAAAGCTGAAGTCCTGCTAATCACAAAGTTTGCAATGCTCTGATGACAGGCAAATGGTGAAAGGAGATATATATGGATAGTGTGTGGCCCCCAAGTCCAAATTTTATTTTGCTTGTTCTGGTAAATGAAATTGGTATGAAAAGGACAAGTGGTTATCCCTGATTGGGTTGGGGCATGACAGATGTGCTTTGATAGTTAATATTATATTGTTAAAAAAAAAACAGGGAGAGGTTTTGTTTGATTGATTCAATTATTTGTTTCTTGGGGATAGTCTTGTTTGTATGGATATTAGTTTTGGTAATATTGGTTATGGGTGAGGTTAGGCCAACTAGTAATGGGACCTAGCGTACCAGACAAGCAGAGAGTGCTAACTTTTGCTCCAGTGTTTGGTAGGGTTGGCGCCCCAATTTGTAATTGCATGCTAATTAAGCTGCTGATTTGATTTTTGTTATCTTGAAATATTAGGTTGCTTGCTATTTGTTGAATCTTATTCAATTAAAAAAGTTGTCTAGACCTTTCAGAATATATTAAAAAAGGCCTTGGGAAATTACTGTCAAACTGGGTGGAAACATTTTTCTTTCTTTTATTTTTTTTCAAGAACATGGAAAACCTGCTACTAGTTCATAACATGAACCTTGCCATAGTTGAACCAAAACCCAGAAAGGCAAATACTCTTATTAATCGAAATCAATCATTTTGTTGGATATTTGACTAATTGACTCTATTTAAAAGAGCTATTTATTTAGGAGAGGATGATAAATCTCCTATAATTATGATGCTCTTGAGTTCGAGACCCTACAATTACTAATAGGGGTGACTATCGAGAGGTTTACCTAATCGTTAATATATATATATATATATATATATATATATATATATATATATATATAATTGTGATGATTAATTTTTAAGATTTTATAAAAGGATATAGTTATTGTCTAATGCTCTGATAAATCTACTTTGTGTCTTATTGTTTTTTTTTTTTAAGCAAAAATTCTAGAAGCCAATAAATTTTCAGCTCTAAAACTAGAAAATAAATAAATAACAAAGTTGCTTTAGGACAAGTTGTTAAACATCTAATTGGTTTAACAAAAATTCATTAGACAAGTAATTCCGTACATGAAAATCCAACTCCTCTTTGTTTAACTTTTTTATCCATATTCTATTTTATTAGAAAATATGGTTATTTTAATATTGACTACTCAAATCAAAATCTAATTTCATACTATTCAACTTAAAACATATAATAATTACATTTCTCAATAAAAGTTTATAAACTAACAAAAATACCCCTACCTACCTAAGTAACAGTTGCCTACTAGCAACCACCATCGGCTACCAGCTACCATCGAAATGGTGCACGAACAGCTGGATCTGGTCGAAAACGGCCAAGATATGGTCATTATCAACTACCAGATCAACGCAAGATTGGACAGATCCAACTAATTATGCACCATTCTGACGACTGTTGCCGCCCATCCAAAAGTGGTGACTAGTTGCCGACAATCAGTTAGGTGAGTGAGAGTGTTTTTGTTAATTTATAAACTTTTATTATAGGGGGTTTTAAGCTAAATTAACAAATATAAGGGGTTCAATAATTTAAATACTTCCAAAAAATATTTTCTAATAATGTGTCAAACACATTATCTAATCGAATCCTATCTTATCCTATCCTTTTCAGAATAGGATTTCATAAATTTATACGAGAACATGGCATCTTCTGCTGATCTGTTTTGTATTTCTACTGAAGGAGCTCTTTTTTTTATTTTACAGTCAACAGAGTCTGCGTATTTCGGTTTCTATAGAAAGATACTAAACGTCAGCTGTACAAGTTTAGTATTTCTTGTTCATCTAACGATGATTTATTGATTAAAGCAAAAGGAGTGTACATCACCTGATTGCAACTTCTCAACGAATTTGGTGTACGAAATTAAATCAACCCAATTTCGTAAACCAAAATTTATGTTAAAATGTAGCTTTGGTTCTCTTTGATCTTCCTTTTTCTAATCGGCAAGTATACCCTCTTTCCGTCAAGGTAAATTAAATTCAATATCACAACAATTACACCATCGTGCTATATCAAATATAATTAATCGGAGATTTCAAACCCAAATCTTTCTAGAAAATTATTGCCGGGTAGAAAGAAAGTCAAAATTCAAGATAAATCACACGCAATTGCACATAGAAAGTCATCACCAAGCTGTAAGCCTCGTTAAACTTTCACCTGAAATAGAACAAAATATATTGATGGCCAATTTTACGAATATAAAAAATCATAACTGTTTTACAATTATATGGCTATTTGAAAACAACACTTTCATGGGCTGTGGAATCTAATCCAATAGGCCTAGAGATGGACAGCACAGGATGAAACCCAAACAAATTCACTACCTTCACAAGTTCTTCAAAGTCAAAACACCCTCATCTGTATAGCTGTTTCTCTCATGCTTTTGCTCATAGGGAATGTATCAGAGGCATTCCAAACAGGGAAAGCACAGGCAGACTGCATCAGAAAAGTCAAGCCTGACCACACTTGCTTAAACAAGCAAGTCCTTCTTCCATATAATCTTCCCTGCTAATCCAAAACTCCGGTGCATCCTGCATGTGTAAACATTCACTTCTTAGATGATTTAGAAGTTGGAAGAGAATGTGGGAAAATTGTCTATGCTATTGTCAAACCAAGACTTATAATTTGAGTCTGTTTGAGAGAGAGACCTTCATGATTCCTGCAAGAACTGCCCCTCCAAGATATACCATGTGCTTTCTTCTTGGCGGATCCTCAATTCGCAATCGCAACTTCTGTTCACAAGGTAAAGAACATGAGGAAAAAAAAAAAAAAAAAAATTGAAGATTGTGCTCTTCTATAAATGCAGCTCCCCACATAAAAGAATCATTTTCTACCAATTGCCTCCTACATACAGCAGTTCTAAAGATCTTTCCAATCATATTTTAATTTGATAATCACTTATGAAGGTCCTGGAACACCAAGATTTTGTCTATTCTTTTACGTGAGAATTACAGTAATTAAGTTTGTCCGTATAAAATAAAACTCTAACCATCTATTACATATAGAAGAAAAATATAATTTGGTATCTAATTTTCTAACTTATAACAGAAAGGACTCAGATCTCACCTTTAACCCATCTTTATTTCCCTTCAGAACCACATCAAGATACCGATCCAGGATTTCTTTCTCAAGGCTGAAACAAAAGTAACGCCACCTTATGATAGTGTACTGCATGAAATATTAATAATGATAGAGGTATAAAGAAATTTACAAAGTGATGTGGTAAGAGATGAATAGAAGAGTGAATACAAAAAGTCAAACTCATCATATTCACTCTTCCATTCATCTCCTGTCACATCACTTTGTATAAGAAATCTTTGTAAAATTCTTTGTACCTCTAGCATTACCCATGAAATATACCACCATGCCAAAAATGTGCCCTTAAGAAATCTTAGAAAGCATTCTTTGTTAGCAGAGACCATGCCAGAAAAAAGGAGAGAGTGATTTATCACTACGTTTACTGGATATAGTTCTTAGCCTTTCGAGTTCAAGTATGTTAAGATGTTTTACGGACATGGATAAAGCAAGTTAATAGTTTTCAGCATCTTTATGCAAGTTTTTACAGAAGAATCTGAAGATACGAACTTCATGGTGCATTCCAAGGTTATCAAAATGAATCCAACTGTAGTACTCCATTAAAGAACAAGAGAATGCGAGATTTCATGTGATGCAAAATGCAGTTTAATGTAGTACCGACTAGGCAGTCCAGGATACATGGTGCTCCCTCCACTTAAAACTATATGCTGGTATAACTGCAAAGATTAAAATAAAATTTCAACAAAGAATCTCAACTAAGAATTACATACAAACTACTAGATTTTTAATGAACGTACCATCATACGGTTGTCAATATCCATTTCCTGAATGCAGCGAAAAACCATATCAGCCATTCCATCACCTTCAACATCAATAAGTTCCTGAAAGAAGGAAGTATTCTTTAAGTTTCACAAATTAAAACCATTAATACATAGTGTAATAGGATGGCCTCATAGTTCTCTGATGCCAGTAAAATATATTAAATCAGGTTATTCATTACTATATAAACCACTCGTGTAACAATTTTGCAAATTATAAAAATCCATACACAAGGGTTCAAACAAGTACTAGTTTTACAGAAACTAATAGCACATGCCGTAATCTTTTTCTTTGCTCTTAAGGAATTAAAATGTCGTGGTAGCTTGATTTGTAATTACAGATTCAATTTTTCCATTATTAAAATCTACGTTCTTTGTCCAAAAAGGAATAGCGTGTCATAAAATGATCTGAGTACCAAGCCATTTCAAATTAACTACCAATGCAAAGCATCTGGAATTATGTAACAGGCTAACAGCATATTAACCTGATCAGGCAATACATAGCTTGGAAAATTTTAACATATAGAACATGACAATAAATAATAGTATAGGCTTACTGGCGTAAAAAGAGCCTCAGGGGCCTGAAATCTTTCAGTTCCTACTTTAATGGTCCTTCCATCTGGCAGCTGATCAAAATAAATTCAGTTAATACATAACTAAATTAAGAATTTATATTGAAACAAGAAAAAGAAAAATTTATAAAATAATAGGAGAATAAACTCACAGTATAATTCTTAACCAGAATGGTGGTTTCAAGGCCCAATTGATATTCCCTTTTGTAATCATAACTGCAGTAAGATAAAACAGATATTATATCATCATGCAACAAGATCCACAAAATCATTCCACAGCATGAAATTTTGCATTCACCTTATATAGCAGAGCTTCTCTTTGATTTGCCTAACAGTCTCAAAATCAGCAGTCTTATTCATTGCATACCTACAGGACAGAAATTCAACATTCAACCAAAATGTAATATGAATTGTAATTTTCTTGCTAATTCTTGGACAAAGTATTGACCCTCACCCTCTCCGTGAGAGTAAATCAACAAGATAGGATGTTATGTGCCGACCAGCTACATTCATTCGCTTAGTAAGATGAGGGAATGAGTAGCCATCAACAACTGGAACCTGGGGAGAAACATTGATGAAAATTATGGTTTAGGATTACCTTGATGGGTGTCAGCAAAGTACTCTGTATAGTGTCATGTTGCTAATAACTCATTTTTCCCCTTTTTTTTTTTTTTTTTTTTTTTAACTTTTATTCTGTTTCAGAATGAAAGATTAATTTTTTATATCCAATAATGCACCTTTATCTTAAGCGATCGGTGGTTGGAAAATAATGAAACTGCACTGTAATAAAATTCCGGAAAGATTTCAAATGCTAAAGAAAACAGAATGACCTCAAATCAAATGATCCATGATGATAGAATCATTTCAATTACAAGCAACATCCAAGCCACTTATCAGCTCAAGACAATAAAGTAAAGACACAGAGATAATATGTTGCAAGATTCTGATTAATAATGTAAAACTTGTTCTTCAGTAGTTACCACATGGGTGACACCATCACCAGAGTCAATAACTAGTCCAGTCAGCAGACCTGTGGCAAATTCAAAGAAAAGCTCAAGAAAACATGCAAAGGGGAATGGAGGAAAGAAAACAGACAAAAAGTAAGAATATGGAGGCATTCAAGAAAAATGGAAAATCTTGAAGTCATCATGATTCTGCTTATTGTAGTTCTTCAAAAGTATCAGTAGAACAAACTCTTTTATATATATATATGCCTGAACAGTTAATTGAAAGTAAACCTGCAAACATCTTCATAAGCACCTTGAGCGTACAAAGTTAAAACAGCTTGGATTTGAATGAAGACACCAGCAAAGTTGTATTTCTCGAACATTGTCTCCACCTGTAAAGTCAAGTCAGACCAAAATCATCAGATACTAATTCTAGATAATAGGATGTACTAATTACCAAAATATTAGGTTAAAAAAATTGGATCACAAACCATCTTTTCACGATTTTTTGAGGGATTAAGAGGTGGGTCTGTAAGTAAAATTTTACATTCTGTTGGGTCAATCTGTTGAAATAGTGTGTACACAAAGTTAGCTACAATGTAGTAAAACTACACTAAGAACAGCAAAGAAAAAAGACAGATTAAGGCCACCTATAATAAACATCCACAATAACCAGAAGCACCATAAAGCTTACTTTTAATTCACTGAAAAAAGCATGGTCCCACACATGACCCATATCTTCCCAGTTTTGCACTATACCATTGTTAACAGGATAGGATATATCCAGTTGATGCCGCAAATCAGCACAAGCTGCTCCAACAATAATATCCTATATGAATTTGAAAATGAATAAATAAAACAGGAAAAAGGGTTTCTCCTTACGAGCTACAAGTATTAAGCATGAGCGATAGGCATGATTTCACATTATTAAGATCAAGTTTATGTTTACATGAGTATCTTTAAGATAACTAAAATAATTTCACATTTAAAAAAGAATAGTTTCACCTTGAGCTCTTGTTCCATGAGCGACTCTTCATACCGTAACATTGGCCTCCCCACCACACAAGGGAACACAGAAGTAGGAAAATTCTCCCCCGCAAATCCACATTTGACATACTGCATTAAGTAATATGAAACCAAAGCAAAGGAAAACAGTAAGCAAAAAATGGATTTAATATACAGTTGAGTCTTCACATCAGATAGAAAATAAATACCCATTCCATTATCTATAAGAAAAAATAAAAAACAAAAGAAGGTAAAGGGTAGAGGAGAAGGAAAACGAAAGAAAAAAACATATTATTCTATTATCCATTCATTTAGCTGATGCAACAAAAAGTAGAAAATTGCTACTTTCCATTATTTGGAAAGGAGAATTGTTACTTTTCATAATTTTGTAGGAAATTCCAAACATTTTACGACAAATTAATCACAGTATCCTTAAACTCATTAAACTCACTTCATTCCAACCAAACAGGTGAAATGGTCTCCCTTCTATTCTATTACTTTCTCGGCTCCCACAGCACCAAACGAAGAGATATAAAGCTAATCGTAAATTTCAAAATTAGCAGCAAGAGCAGTTTAAACTTAACATTGAAATCTAATCGGACTATTACTGATTAAAACTAACAATCTACGCAACATTGCAGAACGCAGATTCTAATATTTGAGCAGATCTAAACATATCAATCACAAATAATGAAAATAGAAAACTAGAGTATCTTATTATAATTCAAAAAGCTAATTTCATTGAAATGCTCTGACCGTTGATTAAATTATAATACAAAGCATGTCAAAACAGAAGATTAAGAAAGTAAACGAAAGGAAAGAAAGAGGTACCCCAGTGCCATTGTCGCAAACGACGACGTTCCTGTTGTCCATAATTAAGATGGTGGTGCTGGTGATCTATAGGACGATTGGAAGTGTTACTGAGCTGCTTTCTTCATCTAACCGCTTTTCTTCAATGGGAGGTGCGTCAAAATGCAGGAAAGAATTCGGAGTGAATTCCTTTTTGGTCCCTGTGGTTTTAGTGTACTAGTCAGGACAATGGTTTCAAATACTACTGTTTTAGTCCTTTAACTAAATAAAACGTTAATTGACTATTAAAATTATATTGAAAGGACAAAAACACCCCTAATTAAATTATGGAAATAAAAAATTACTTACACAATCAACCCTAAATTAAATAAACACATTACACGCTACAAATTCAAATTAAATAAACAACATTATACACTACAAATTCATCATATTTTATATGATTTTGGTTATCTAATGTGAAATGTGTTTATTTATTTCAATTTGTAATGTATAATGTATTTTTCTTATATATATATATATGAGAGTTCTACCAATGTTCAATAAAATTTTAATAACTTTAAAAGAGGGGTATTTTTGTCTTTCAATATAATTTTTTTAGTCAACAAACATTTTAGTTTAGCCAAAGGATTAAAACAGTAGAATTTGAAACTATTGTCCTCAAAGAATTTAAACTGAAACCATAGGGAATGAACAAAATTCCACACGATGTAGTTTCTGTATGTAAAGACTAAAGACCGCAGACGGCCCATGAGGTTTTGGAAACTTTTTAACACATCCATGATTTTTACAAAATTATAACTCGCACGCTTTCTTTTAAAATTTTGATTTGCTCAGTCATGAAAGACTATAAACACTATAGTAGAACATAAAATTTAAAAAGTAGATGATTTTGATCCAATTAAATTTTACATTTTATAATTTATAATATAAATTAAAGGCATAAGAAAAATAGAAACATGATAATTTTTTTGGGAAATAATTATTAAATTTATTGGTAATAATTGTACACAATATTATTAGATATGATTTGTGGTTGAGATGGTTGTGGGCATAACAAAACTTGAAAAAGTAATTAAAATGTCTTGAATAATAAGTATTGATTTTGAAAATCCATAAAATAAAAATACGTCAAGGCGGTGCATCAAGGATTCAAGATAGATAATGTTGAAGGATTTTTGGCTGTATGTACATGTATAAAAGCTATTTATTTTTTAGGCAAATAAAATTATACAAATTATTTGATTTTTTCATGAGAGTATTTATTTTTATTTTTTTATAATGGTTATGGCATTTGGGTTGGGCTTAGTTTAGCTAGTGTTGGGCCTAGCTTAAACGCCATATGCCGTCTGTAGCGTACTACCTATATAACGATCCACTTCTTTAGGGTTTTGCCTTTACAACAGTGAGCCGAGAAGAAGCTGTAGCTTTGGAAACCCTTCTTCTCAAAAATGGTGAGCCTCTCCTCTCTTTTCTTCTTTTACTCACTTCACACAATATCGTTATGTTTTTCAAATGTATATGATGATAAACTATTCGCATCTTACTATTACATTCGTAGGCTCCTAAACGAGTTGGAAAAGCACCAGTAGCCGCAGCCAAGAAGAAATCGGTAATTTTTTTTCCTCTCTCCGTGCTTTTGTTTGGTTTTGGTTTTGGCTACGGTATTGATGGTTTTGGTGTTATTTTTGTTTTAAAGGAGAAGGTGGTGAACCCGTTGTTCGAGAAGCGAACGAAGCAGTTTGGAATCGGAGGTGCATTGCCGCCCAAGAGGGATTTGACCCGGTTCGTCAGGTGGCCCAAACAGGTTGATATTCAGAGGAAGAAGAGAGTTCTTAAACTCAGGCTTAAGGTCCCGCCTGCCTTGAACCAGTTCACCAAGACTCTTGACAAGAACCTCGGTATGCTCAATATTTAACTCAAAAGCAGCTTTTACTTTGTTTTCTTTGTTTCTCAATCTTTGTTTTGATAAATGGATAGTTTCATCTCGAATGGGATTAAACAACTGGCCCGAGGTAGTTACGTTGTGTGAGATTCTGTATCAGTGTTTATAAGCATCACTTCTATTCATTTTGTTTTGTGATAAAGTTACAATGGATCTTGTTCTTTTGTTATGTCATTTATCAAGGATTTCAAATTATATGCTGTTCTTGAATCATTCTGCTTTCTTTTATCCCTATTCCATTTGTTATAATTGATGCTAAAATGATTGGTTGTATCTGTAAAAGTACATGATTTAGGTACTCTTTCCCCCGAAATTTTCATATTCTTTTGAGGAAATACGTGAGCCAGTAATCAAATACGTGTGATTTCTGCATTATTCTTGAGTATGAAGTGCTTATATGAGCCGTAATGTTTCCTTGTAGCAGTGATTTATGGTTATAATATTTTTGTTATATCTCCTGCTTTTTCATTGTAGTCTTTTTAATGCTATTTGAACATTTACATAAAATGAAGTTATTAATGCTTTGGAGATGTGTATGTCTAAACCCTTTGCTTGGTCTGATGAGTTTCTATTCTGATGAGTTTCTATGTGTTGAAATTTAACCTTGTATTTGTTAAAAGGTATAGTTTCCCCTTTATTCTTCTGTTTATACTTTATCTCATCAACAGAGTTTTCTTTAGAGACGTCAATTTTGAATAAATTTTCTTTTTTGAAACTTTATCTACAGCATCAAATCTATTCAAGATGCTTCTAAAGTACCGGCCCGAAGACAAAGCAGCAAAGAAGGAAAGGCTCTTGAAAAAGGCTCAGGCAGAGGCTGAAGGAAAACCTGTTGAAGCTAAAAAGCCTATTGTCGTGAAATATGGGCTCAACCATGTCACATACCTTATTGAGCAGGTAAAATTCATTTTGTCTAATCTTTGCTCAATTGCACTTCCAAGTCTTCAACTGTCACCCTTTGTTTTCTCTTCCCAACAGCTAATTTTTCTATTGAATTCCTGTAATAGAACAAGGCTCAGTTGGTGGTTATTGCTCATGATGTAGACCCAATAGAGTTGGTTGTCTGGCTACCAGCTTTGTGCAGGAAGATGGAGATCCCATACTGTATTGTTAAGGGAAAAGCACGCTTGGGAGCGGTAATTATCCCATTTATCTTTTGTCTTAAACGCATGTCAAAGCAAAAATTATGAACCGGAAACTAAATCACTGTAATGTTTATGATAGATTGTTCACAAGAAGACTGCATCAGTTTTGTGCTTGACCACAGTCAAGAATGAAGATAAACTGGACTTCAGCAGAATCTTAGAGGCTATTAAGGTAAGTTTAAAGTTAAATCAGTCATAAACAGAATGACTTTAGAGTTCTTGGAGGATTTGATCTCATTTCTGGATTTATTTATAATGTCTCAGGCCAATTTCAATGACAAGTATGACGAGAACAGGAAGAAGTGGGGTGGTGGGATTATGGGTTCCAAATCTCAAGCCAAGACCAAGGCTAAAGAAAAGGTCCTTGCTAAGGAAGCTGCCCAGAGAATGAATTAAAAGCCAGTATTGTGCAATTTATTTCTAGGATACATGATTATTTGAGGCTGTAGCCTCGAGATTTTTGTTTATTCTAAGGTTCTGAGTTTTTCTTTTCTTAATTGATTTGAGAGGTAATGCAGGGTGTTTGATTGGAAATTTACCTTCTTGTTATAGTTAGGTCTATACTTAATGCAATTCCCAATTTTTTGTTTGGTAATAATAGTTCTGAAGTGTACTTATCTTATCCATTGACAAATAAGCTTTCAATTTTTTTTTTCCTTCAATTTTTTATGGATTATTTTGCAAGTTGAGAGGAGTTCATGGATAACATTAAAAACATTTCTTTGTTAAATGGGAATAGCTCAAAAGCTGGTATTTGATAATTTTCTATTTACTTTCTTTCCATTATTTTTATTTTTTTATTAAAGTAAAACTTTTGTTTTTGGTAACTTATTTTTAGAAAGCATTTTACGGTTCCATAACCATATGATTTATATAAATGAAAAAAGAAAGCCTTCTAAATCCACACTCGATTAAAGATTCTGTTTTTGGAAACATTTATTGTATTTGAAAAATATCTGGTACTTTAGTGTCTATGGACATGATTGCATTTTCATGAATATTGACTACTGAGCCTTTCCATGCTTGATTGCATCCCCCTTCCTAAAAGGATATTCGGCAGCAACGGGCGAGGCGGCAATGTGGTTCCTTGTGAACTGTGCTGTCAAGTATCAATAATCTTCCTTTATTACCGGAACGAACATCAGTAAACAAAAGCTATTCTTAATTCTGATTTACATGAAAAGAAGCAGCAGCGAAAACAGATAGGACAGTTTGGCTTGTTCTTGGGTTACTTAAGAGGAGCAACTTATTTAACTTCATTATAACCTGAAAATCGACTTTCTGGCTCCTGTTATTGTTCCTTTTTGTTTTCTTTCAATTTTTACCACCTGAATTATCAATTATCCTTTTAATATTTTAATGTTTAACTGCTAATTACATCACTAGGGTGTACGTAAACTATTTCATTACGCCATTCGACCCATCAATTTTTCAAGGATAAAAGCTATATCACACTTTTTTTTTTTTTTTTAATTTAAAAAAATTCTATTGAGTTTAATATTTCTTTTTGCACTTGCAAGTGACGTTACCAATACATATTTTAAAAAAAAAATATATATATAAAATTAAGTAACAAATGAAAAAGTCTTTTATGGTATTACGCAGTAGTACAGTATATAGTTAATTTTTTATTTTGGGTAAGCTCTCTTAAAAAAAAATCACTCACTCTCTCTCTGTCTCACAACACAAACTCTGCAATTCATCAAACCCTAGCAATCTCTCTCTCTCTCTCTCTCTCTGTCTCTCTCTCTCTCTCACGCTCGCTCGCTATCTGCCTAATCTCGGTCTCCAATTTCCTGCGAATTTCGGTGATGGCTGACGGAAAGCTCGATCTGCCGGACGATCTCCTCTCTTCTAAGACGCTCGATCAAGACCGCTCCGTCAAAGGTTCTCCTCTTTTTTTTTTTTGTGTTTTTAAATTTTAATTTCTCATTATTTGATCTCATTTCTATTAAAAGTAACGTTTATGTTATATCTGATCGATCTGTAATACAGCTCTTTGCTTATTGTAAATTCTCAACTGTAGATATCATTAATGGTTTTTCTTTTCTTTTCTTTTTTTTGGTTCGTTTCTTCCCTCGAATTACTTAATTTTATGTTTTGAGCTTCATGCTTTCGTTTATGTAATCGGTTTGTTTATTCATTTGAATCGTTTTAGACCATTAACTTGTCAAATCTTATGATACTGTTTATTTGCTTACTGATTCCATTGAGTGTAACCATAAGTCAAAATTTAATTAGGATCTACAACGGTAGCTTCAATTTCTTTTTTCACGTTTTTATCTCAGATTATATTTTACTCTTAATTGTTTAACGTTGTAGGAACTCCTATATAACTGGTGTAATTGGAACATACTGTGATTGCCTCTTTTAGAAATTGAATTTTATTATTATGTTTATGTTTCTTTTCTTTTCTTTTTTTATTTTTATTTTCAAAATTTAAAAAAAAAATAATAATCTGTTGTGTAAGTGATACCAAATAACTTATGTTTAGTAATCTACTGGTTTTTTCATAATCTGCACTAAGAAGTTTCCCTGGGCTAAGCGTTTTCTTGGGCCCAGATCTAATTCCTTTTTATTCTTTTGGGGTGGTATACTTTTAGGGGTATAGTTTGATTTTGGCATATGATTTGAATAGCATTTTTTTGCTTTCCTTGACGTTCCAGAGGTCCCTGGTTCATTTTTTAAATTTTTTTCCCTCTTTGAATGATATTTCGTTTCTTGTCAAAAGAAAAATTCTCTTGGTTTTCCTGTGAAAGTAGTTGATGTTGTTTGTTTTGTATCAATGGTTTCTTTATCAGTTAGTTTCTTATTTAGTTTCTAAAGAATGATGCTCGTTTCTGTATGAGTTGATAATAATTTGGTTTTTGCACTATGTTAGATGAAGCTTGGGGAGGAACTAGTGAGGAGAAGTCCCTGATGGGGTTACTTGATGAGTCAAAAGGTAGTTATTTTTTCTTTGGAGTTATGTTAGTGTTGGATAGAAGTTTACTAATTTATATGTGTGTTCAAATTCTCATTTGTCTTCCTTTCAGTCCTCTTGCTTTTACATGCCCACATAGTTTTGATAGCTATTTATTATTGTATTTTTCTTTTGGTTGATACCGCAGATCAAGTAACTCCAGAGAACAGCATACCGCTGTCTCCACAGTGGCTCTATGCTAAACCAGTTGATCCTAAGACATTGACTACAGGAGGGGTAAGAAAGTTCTTCATTCTTTCGATATGTGCCTTAGGGTTTTCTATTAACCAATGTGTGGGGTGGACAGGGCAAGTTTTAGATTTGTTATGGGTACATAATAAACTGGATTTTATGTTAAAAGTTACTTGTTTGTAGGAGTGACTGAACTGTGTTTGATGCTTTTATTGCTTTCATTTTTTAAAAGAATAATATGATGGTGATGAGAGACTGCTTTTGTTGGATCGCTTGTTTAGCATAACTTTGACAGTTTACTATTCTTCTGATATTAAAATGTCAAATTTAATATGACTCTTACCAAATGCATGATCGAAATGAACTTCTTTCCTTTTTGTTGGAAGATGGAGTTGTTGTAAACCGTGGTTTTACTTGTGATAGTGCTTCTGATTCTTTTTCTTTTCTTTTTTTAGTTATTGCTTCACTGTAAATATTCTCAATATAAGTAAAAAACGTCTCCTTTCTCGTGTGTTCTCCATATTGCCTAATATGATATATGTGTCAAGGTGGTTTTGGGATTATTGTGTAAGATATTTTTACCATTAGATTCTTCATTTCAAGTTTGTAAACCTCATCCTTTATGCCATGGTCACTCAATTTGTACTTTTAAAATTGCTTATCTCTGTGTGTGTGCCCCTTTCACCTGCCCATGTTGTATCGAGCAGTGTTGCTTTGTGAGAGCCTCTGGATAAGTTCGAGTTATGGAAATTGCCTCAAAATTTACGGCATTTGTGTTTTCTGTTAGTTTTATTTATGTCATTAAAACTGGTTTATTAGCATAATGGTTCACAAATTTTTTTTTTTTNAAATTGCTTATCTCTGTGTGTGTGCCCCTTTCACCTGCCCATGTTGTATCAAGCAGTGTTGCATTGTGAGAGCCTCTGGATAAATTCGAGTTATGGAAATTGCCTCAAAATTTACGGCATTTGTGTTTGCAGTTAGTTTTATTTATGCCATTAAAACTGGTTTATTAGCATAATGGTTCACAAATTTTTTTTTTTTTGTAAAGGAGAGTTCTAGCTCATTGTATCCTCCGTAAGAATGAATAATAATATCATTATTGAGAATAATTCAGTGAGTTTTATCCTCTGTGAGGACCTAGAATCATGTCTTTATTGAGACTAATTCAGGGTTTTGATTTATGCCAGTACCAATTTATGAGAGGTAAATGAGTGTGACATATGTTTGCTGTGAGGTTCATGACATCTTCTTGAATGCCGTTAAATTTTCTTTTAAGCATGTATGTTTTTTACCCCCTTAAAACCCTTTTGTATCTATATAATGGCAGGAAATGCGTGCACCAAATTCATTGCCTCAGGGAAACACAACTGATACTAATTTAAAAGACAGTTGGCGTTTAGATGGATCTCAAGACAAGAAAGACTGGAGGAAGACTGTGCCTGATATTGAAAGCAGTCGCCGCTGGCGTGAAGAGGAGAGAGAAACAGGCATACTTGGTAGAAGAGATCGCAGAAAAGAAGATCGTCGTGCAGATGTCACCTCATCTAGGGATATATCTGAAACTAGAGCTTTGTCTTCTGCAGATCGTTGGCATGATCCTAGTAACCGTACTTCTGGCCATGAATCCCGGAGAGACAGCAAGTGGTCTTCAAGGTGGGGTCCCGAAGATAAAGAGAAGGATTCTCGAACTGAAAAGAGGACAGAAGCTGAGAAGGAAGATACTCAGATTGACAGACAATCTTTTGTCAGTGGCAATCGCACCACTTCCGAGCGTGACAATGACTCCCGTGATAAGTGGAGGCCACGTCATCGCATGGAAGTTCATGCAGGTGGGTCGGCTGCATACCGCTCTGCACCAGGATTTGGGTTGGAGCGGGGACGGGTAGAAAGCTCAAATGTTCGATTTGCTCCTGGACGTGGTAGGTCTACTATCAATGGAAGCCAACAAATAGGCAGGCCTCCCTCTGTATCTGTTATTGGCTCCGTTCCTGTAAATAAATTATCTGGCTCCTCAGCTGTATATTGTTATCCTAGAGGAAAGCTTCTTGACATTTATCGTAAAGAAAAAACACTTCTGAATTTTGATTCCGTAGCTGATGAGATGGACCATGTATCACCAATAACACAAGTAGCCTCCATTGAGCCCTTGGCTTTTGTTGCTCCTGATGCAGAGGAAGAGGTATATGAATTTTCCCCCTTCATAATATAAAATTATTGTAGTTATTTTAGATTCTTCAAACTGGATTATTGTTGTTTACAGGCTATTCTTGGGGATATATGGAAAGGAAGAATTAGAAGCAGTGAAGTATTACAGAACTCTAATAGGGACAAAAGTGTGGCATCAAGTGTTAATACTACAGGTAACAAGAGTTGCATTACCATTGACTATACCCCTAATAAACTGTTCAATTTCTCTCTGATTGAGATTTGCTGTTATTCAGGATTTGGTGACACAACTATCGGCGAGGGTAAACAGAGTTCTTCAGTTAATACTGAAGGAACTGTTGAATCTTTGGAAAAAACTGGTGTAAATAATTCTGGTCAAGGTAATGGTGCCGAGGCATTAAGCTCATCTGGTTCCCATGTTGCCAAGGGTGAGAAATGTTGCTTTAAATCTTTGAGTATTTCTAGCTAATTGATTTGAGAAATATGAACTATTCATTTTATATATATTAATATTTCTTTCCATCATTTCAGAAAGGGGTGGTTTTAAAGAAGGTGAAGGTATTAGGTCAGGTGCAACTGATGTCATGCATGATAGCTTGATACCTTCAGTTTTGAAGGGAAACGATACATGTGGTGCTGGAGAGACTACCGACTCCAGTAACAGTGTTAATGAAGTGAAATTTGTTGAAAACCAACGAGCAGATGATTTGATTCTCACAAAGCACCCTAAATTGGAAGATATTAAATCAGCTGCTTCTTTTGAAGTCGGTAACCAGCTTCCCGATGATTCAAATTCTCTATTTGATTTTGCATCTCTGCAACAAACTGCAAACAGGGATCAGCTTCATCAAAAAAGCAATAACAGTGCACATCCATCAGATGTTGGTGTATCACTAGAGGATTTAAATTTGTTCTATCTTGATCCTCAAGGAGTAATTCAGGGACCATACATGGGGATTGACATCATTATGTGGTTTGAGCAAGGTTATTTTGGAACTGATTTACCTGTTCGATTGTCAAATGCCCCTGCTGGATCAGCTTTTCAAGAACTTGGTGTACTCATGCCGCATCTGAAAGTTAAATCTGGGTCCTCCATATGCAATAATCTGGTTACAACATCACAGCTGTCTGATACTGTTGTAGGCAGCTTGGAAGAGAGTGTAGGCTCTCCTGCTAGTGGACCTGATTATAAGGGGTCTGCTTTTGTAAATAATCAGCTGTGGGTTTCAACTGGTTTTGAGGCTACTTCAGGTATTGATTTTAGATCAGGAGTGCCTAATCATGAACATCAGTCTGAGCCCCATCTTCCTGACAATCAAAGCTTCCAAAATTCTGTTGCTCAAGATGAAGGTATGTTCCATGGCTTGGTTTTTCTATTAATTTTCTTATTGTATCTGTTCATGATGCCACTTCAATTGTTGATCTTTTATTTGTTGCAGAAATTGTCTTTCCTGGGAGACCTGGAAGCAGCAATGCTAATCATATGAGGAGATCTGGTGCTGATATTCACAGTTCATTTTCTAGTCCTGCTAGCCACCATTCCCTTGTTAGTGAGTTTTCAGAAGCTAATATGCCTAGACATCAGGAGGATGATAAGGTGCATCCTTTTGGTCTGTTGATGTCTGAGCTGAGAGATAGCTCTCATTTGAGGCGTTCTCAATCATCAAATTTGGCTTCAAGCATAGGTGACCAGGGTCAGTTCTTGGATTCTTTTGACAGAGATCCTACAATTGTCAGCCAAAGCTCTTTGGGTACATGGGCTGATCAACCTGCTTTTGGGGAGATGTGGCCTGAAGATCATAGAAGGAATACATTTTCAAAATCCCACCCTCATCAAGGTTCTATAGATGCGCAACAATTATTTCGTAGGGAGCAAGAATTGAATGGTTTTGATGTAGCAGAGCACTTAATGTTACAAAAGTTGCAAAAGGAACAACTTCAACAACAAAATTATTCTTCTCCTCATCCTTTTTCATATACAAATGAGTTGGGGATGGAGCAAATTCCTGGTTTTTCTCTTTCTCAGAGCAAGAATCTGCATCAACAGCAGTCGGCTCATCCAGTAGCAGACATGAAACAACTTTTGGAACTTAAGTTACAACAACAGAGACATATCGAGCTTCAACAACAGCAGCATCTCGAGCTTCAACACCAACGGCATATTGAGCTTCAACACCAGCGGCATCTTGAGCTTCAACACCAACGACAGTTTGAGCTTCAGCACCAGCGGCAGCTTGAGCTTCAACAACAGCGGCAGCTCATGCTGCAACAACAGCGGCAACTTGAGCTTGAGCAACAGCGGCAGCTTGAGCTTGAGCAGCAGAGACAGCTTGAACTTCAACAACAGCATCGCTTGCTGCAGCAGCAGCAGATCCGTTTCAACCAAATGAAGTTGCTGCAGCAGCAGCAGCAACAACAACAGCAACAGCAGTTACTTCTGGAACAATTGTTGCAGCATCAGATGCCTGATCCTGGTTATGGACAGTTGAAGGTGGAACCTGTAAGAGATAACATGCTCGATCAAGTTCAGTTAAGGATGCAACTTCTACATGAACTCCAACTGAATTCTCAAGCAAGGCACCTCGATCCATCACTGGAGCAGATCATCCAAGCAAAGATTGGTCAGAGTGCACTCCGGGGACAGCCAGCTGATTTGTTGGACCTAAGATCACAAGCGAAGCATGTGAATATGCTTTCTTCAGAACAACAGCTTCATTTCCAGCAAGAACAATTGCGAGCACGTCAGTTATCCATGGCATTGAGGCAGCAGTCAGGGCTGGAAGGGGAAGGGCGTATAACTGGCCCATGGTCGGTTGATGAGGCTGGTCAGCTTGCCAGGAGTCCGTCTGGTCATCACCAAGCTCATTCAGCAGGTTTTAGTGCTTCAGATTTTTACCAGCAACAGCAGAGGCTTTCTTCGCATGAGGAGCAATTCAACCACCATAACTGGAATCATGCTTTACAGGAACGACATCAGAGAGGGTCATTTGAGCCTAGCTCTATGGCATTGGATAGGTCATTGTCTGTTCCTCCTGCTGTCACTCCTGGAAGGAATTTAGATAATATAAATGCACGAGCTCAAGGTCTAGATTTTCCAGATCAACATCTCTATATGCACTCAACTGGTCAGCTGAGTTCCTTTTCTTCTGGCATCCCCTCACACTCCCAACAAATCTCTGATGAATTTTATGCTACTCATCCAGATATGAAAGAGAGCCACTCTGGGAACAATATGCTGCAGGAAAATAGCTGGATTGAAAAACAGATGCAACAATTGAACCTTAAAGGTGATAGACAACGACAAGACTCAGAAGTTAATATGACTTCTGTGGATACAAGTTTGTGGACATCCACTGGCGGTGATAGGGAGAACTCAGAGCGAGTTTTAATGGATCTTATCCGGCAAAATTCGGGTCTTCAATCTGTGCAGTCCTCAGAAATTGGTTACCAACATAAAACCCGGGAAGCCTTTTGGCCAGTTTCTGAGACGCAGTCGTCAAATCTTCCTTTTAATCTTCTCCCAGGTCAAGAAGTCATTGTGAGCAGCTCCTTTGTGGAAGGGCCTCAAAATTCCAATTCAAGTGCACAATTCAAGCATTCAGGGAATGGTGAAAGATTAATCATAAGATCTAATTCTGGAGCACTATTAGAACAGCCATTCTTGTCCAGCAGCATAGAACATTCGAGCCCCATTGGTAAATCAACTTTAGATAAGGACTTCTTAGAGCTGGAAGGACCTAAGGGGAAGAGGCATGGGTCCAAAGGCATGGGCATGTCAATTTCAGAGATCAAAGACAACTCGGTGGAGCAAGCAGAAAACTCTCTGGATTATGGAGAGCTACCAATTAATGCCCACAGTAGGCATAGTTCTTTAAGTAGTGTTGGTAAAGTCTCAAAATTTCTATTGTCATAGTTTTTCCTTTATGTTAAAGTGAATGTCTTAAAGTACAGTGAAATGATGCAGGTGGAAATGGAGGCTTATACAATTATGAAATAGGGCTAGACAAGTCACTTGGAGAATTTTCAAATGAAAGGTATGATTCTTTGATGCTCTAATTGTAATTTTGTAAAATCATGAAGTTTTCATACTCATACTGGCTCGTAAAATCATGAAGTTTTCACACTCAGACTGGCTCGTAAAATCATGAAGTTTTCATACACATACTGGCTTGTAAAATCACGAATTTTTTATACAACTGCCAGCATCTAATTTTCTTGTAAAATTTTGTTTTGTGAAATTAAAATAGCAATAAGTGCTCACATTACTAATTTTTAGTTTTTAACTTGTGTGGTTAAAATGGTCTTTGGTTTACAGGCTTCCCTCTATATTACCCAAAGGGCTTGACACTGACTTGAGCAAACACCAACTTCTAGCAAGAGCTTCAACTTCCCAGGATGTGTTGCCTGAGCCAACTTCTGCAGCTTTTGTCAAGCAGAAAAGTTCAATAACCCTTGCATCTGATGGTATATTAATTTTTTTTTCTCTTTTTTTTTATTTTCTACTTAACATGCTTGTGATTTGTGGGTTGCAATAATATTATTGATTCTTATACCATTGTTAATTGTGGCAAATTTAAGAAGGGAAGCGGGAATCTGTTGGTAATCCTGTAGCGAATCGGCTTCCTGAAACTCAAGCATCCAGCAAGAAAGATTTGCGTTTTAGGACATCATCTTTCAGTGAGGCTGCTGTTTCAGAGACATCATTCATAGACATGCTTAAGAAACCAGTTCTCCCAGAAGCTGATCCATTAAATGGAGCGGCTTTGGAGTCATCTGATGTTGCTGCACCAGCTGGGCGAAGTGGCAAAAAGAAAGGGAAGAAAGGAAGACAGATTGATCCTGCTCTCCTTGGCTTCAAAGTTTCTAGCAACCGGATCATGATGGGTGAGATCCAGCGGCTTGAAGATTGACCAAAACAAGTTGTACATTGCGTGTAAATTTTCTTCCACTTGTACAGTTGTTTTTAGAATTCCTCAATTTATATTTCTCATGTTTTAGTTTTGAGATGGAGCAATTTAGTTTGGGATACCTGTTTGCCATTCACTATGAATAGTGTAAATGAGGAAGTAAGGCATTGGTGTGTGTATGGAACAGAAATTTTTTTGTAGGGAGATCATACAATAATGAAAGGAATAATCTCTTTTTAATTCATTGTATTCTCTTCGGTCCTGGGCAATGAATCCTTTAATTTAATTTTTACAAGAACAATGTGAACAACTGTCACAGGTGTTGTCGAGATTGTATCTGCAACAACATTAAAGAATGGGACTGTAATATGCATGCCCATTTTAAAGATACATCAAGGTTTCTTCCACTAAAACCTTGTGCATTTTCTTATTTGCTCCTGTTGTCGCAGTTGTCCATATCTTGTGTAATCATTCTCCTTTTCTATAGATAGCTCAAACCTCTCGGCCAATGAATCCTCATCTCTCATATCCTTTTGAATTAACACTCGTTTTCTCTGTATAATTCTTTTTAGTATTAACTGTTTTATATCTAGGATTAAATCAAAGTTCACACTTTCCATTTCCGCCAGGAAATGGGACATACACAGATTTTTAAAATCGTTTAGAGGTCACTAAAGAGGTGAGATTGGCCTTCGCTCTGCATATTGTAGACATAGCTTACACTACCTGAAACAAAACTGAGTTGTATTTTTCACAGTAGAAATGACCTCAGATTAAGTTCAACTGATGTTTTGGCCACATGAAATGCATACAATTACTCTTTATTGTTACATTACTAAATCCAGCACTGACGTATTGACCACCTTCAAAGCCTTATCACACCAATAAAACGCCCGCAAATATTCAGTGTATTATCAGCGGCCCAATTTCTGTCCAACACTGTTGGAATCGAGAAAATTTTCTTGCACTGCCCGTAGCAATTGTAAAACAGGCTCTGGTTGTGAAGATGAAGAAAGCAATGCTAATAGTTCAGTAGATATAACTTGCAACATTGATGGTGAGGTTTTCTCAATCCATTTTATATGTTCAATGGCAATTTGAACCTCTCTATCATCAGCTAAACATTTCAGCAAAATTACATGGGAGTCTGAATGTCCTATATCAGGAGTAAGACCATGAAGGAACTTAGTAGCAACAAGAAAATGACCTGCATGGAGCATAGGAAAGATATATAGTAAACCTTCATATATACATATAACCTCTCATAAAAAGCAAGTACTGGGTAAATATTGCCAAAATCCAATCAGAAATAGATTTAGAAGAAGAAAGGTAATTATAGCTGTAAAGAAATACGCGATAAAGTTCATAAATACAGACCTTTACGACAGAGAGAAAGGATAAGTGTGCTCAATATACTGCGAGCCAGCTTTGTGTCCTGATTAACAGACTTGTGAAAGACTTCAAAAGCAGCTTGAAAATTTGTTTCTTGACAGAGGCCTTCGAGGAGGGACATATAGGTTGTAGTATCAGGTGTCACCCCTTTTGTCAACATATGGTGAAAGAGCCTCAAAGCATCTTCAACTTCACCTGCTTCTGAGAACTTCCCAATTAGTATATTGTAAGTCTTCAGATTCCCGCTACAGCCGCTAGCAAACATCTCATCCCACAATTTTTTAGCAGGACGCAATAAATCTTCTCTACAGCATGCTTCCATAAGAGAGTTATAAAATGAGACGTCTGGGGCTAAACCTTTCTTCTTCATCTCCTGAAGTACCATATATGCTTCTCTCAGTCTCCCTGCCGAACACAAGAATGAAATCATCACATTGTAACTCTCCATATTTGAGAAATAATCGTTTGCAGATAAAACCTTATAAACCTCCACCAATTCATCACTTTTGCCATGTTTACGTAAGTTCCTGCTCAAGTTACCTAATGTTAACAATGTTGGTAATCTCCCTTTTTCAATCATAAAATTTAAAAACGTGATTGCAGAACCAGGATCAATGCTTGATACCGATCCTATTAATGCATTTAAAACATCATCATCAATGGGAAAATTCCCACCAACAATCACTTCACCCAATTTTTTTGCTTCACATATCCGTCTCTCCGAAATCAAACCTAAAATAAACTCTCTATAATCGTTAGTTCTCGGAGCAACTCCCAGCTTTCTTTTCTTCTTCAAAACTGTTTCTCTTTCAAACACGCTCCCTATTAGTTTAAACTCTTCAGCAACAATCCTATACGCAATGAAGTCAGGTTTGCACTCTCTAATCCTCAACTCATCCAATACCCTATAAGCCTCTTCCACTCTTTTAGCTTCACAAAGCCCATGAACTATCAAAACTGCAATAATTGACCCGTTAATCACGGAATTATAACTCCTTTTAACATTATCTAACGTACTTAGTACTTGACCCAATTCGGCATTTTTACAAAATCTCCATATAAACACACCAAAACCAATAGTACTAAAATCTACACCTCTTTGAGTCATTGCATCAAACACCTTCAATGCACTATTAAAATACCCATCAGAAGCTAAAGCAGCCAATAGAGAGTTGCATATTTCAGGCCCGATTTCTTCACTTTTCGACTTGAGTTCACTAAACACCGAAAACGCTTTCTGGGAATCTTTCCCTTGAATCAATGAGCGAATTATAAAGCGGTAAACAGAAGAATCGAGAATGATTTTGTTTACTTTGACTTGCTTTAAAACAGAGTCGATGGCGTTGAACTGGCGGGAAAGAGACAGAGATTTAAGGACTGACTGATAAGAGAGAGAGGAGTGAGTAAAGTTGGGCTGTTGAGAGGCCCAGTTGAAGAAGCCAAGGGCGAGTGAGTGGTGAGTTAATAGATGCGGGTCGATAACTCCGGCTACCAAAGATGGACTCAGTGAGTGGCGAACACCGATTCGATGGAGAGTTTGTTCCAGACACGGGGTCCAAGATCGTGTTGGCCTTGTGTAGTTGGATGCCGAAATTAGTACCTGGCTTATCCGTGTCGCTACCTCAGTTGCCGGTCTCATGACTCATCCAAGTTGATTACCACTGCAGGCGTCGTCGAATACGACGAATAGCCGAGAGAGACATAAAAATTAAACGCGGCGTTTCACCATTAAAAGCGTATCTACATTTTTGTATTTATTATTTAAAATAAAGTAAACTAAACGTGGTGTTGCATCTCGCATGATGGTAAATGGCATAAGATTTTCTGAGTTGGATGTTTTAATTTGCTTGGTTAGATTAATATTCCCCCATTTGCCATTGTTAATTGTGGCAACCGAAATAGATTCAGCGCCTTCTGGGTTAATTAACAGAATAAGTTGTTAATTTGTATCCATTTTTAGATATTATTTTAAAAGAACTGTTCTTCTAAAATTCCTCGCAGTAACTGGTTCAGTTTCAGTAATTCAATATCATGGTTTACTGAAGAAATTTTTCTATGGCAGATGATTTTTGTATTTGTTTTCTTATGTTGGGATGAAATAAATTAAATTGCAAGATATCATCTGGATGAAAGAGAATAATATTCATAGTCAAACGTGAAAGCTGTGCCTAAATTCTGTTGCACTTGCCTCTGAACAAACAAACATATACAGTATATTTCTCTATTGTCTATCTGTTTCTCTATTTTCCCGTTTCTCTTCTCTTTTGTTTTCTTCAGTCCTGCTGCTAAACCATGGGTTCGGTTCTTATGGATCCCGTTGAAATTGTAGATTTCGGGAATATAAATGTAAAAGGATTCAAGGACGTCACAAGAATTTGCATGCCTCTTCATCCCTCCTCAAGTTTAAATCGAAAATGTTTCTTCCGATCCAACCCTTTGGAATGTGCTTTCACTCTTCTATTGTTGCAACTGTTTATATGGTCTGCAGTCATTCTCCTTGTCTATAGACTCATCAGGCCTCTCCACCCACCCCTTTTCGTCGCTCAAGTCTTGAAGCAATTTGCTTTGTTTTAATTTTCTTTTATTTTGTACTGATCATTGTTTTTGGTTTTCCAGTGTGGTATTGTAGTTGGTTCATCTTCTGGGATTGAGTTCCGAGTATATGGTATCGATCTTTCCCTCGATAAGTTTTATATTGATGGATGCATCACTCCCTCGGATTCATGTTTTTCTATTTCCTAATGGAAGTACAAATAGATTCATGTGTCACGGTTAAGAGTCTCACACCCAAAAACAGGGTTACAACAAAAAAATAAAATAAAATAAAATAAAAAACGAATCGAACCAGAAAATCGGACTGAAAACCAGTTCGGTTCGAGATTAAAAAATTTTACAAACAAAAAAACCGGTACGGTTAATGGTTTAAGAGTAATTGTGTTTGGGAAACTGATTTTCCCCAAACGTTAAAAGTTTTCCCCAACCCAAACCTATTTAACTTAAAACCATTATTTCTTTAAAAAGCCCTAATTTCACATTTCAAATTTTCAATTGACTTTGAATCCTCTCCAGCGCAAACCACCACCGTCTCCAACTCCCAACCCCACCACGTGACACCGTCATCTGCCGTCTCGATGCGACAATATCTCCACTTACTCGCCATTGCCAAAGCACCACTATGACTGCGTGACATTTCAAATCCCACCCTCTCCATCTGACCTTCTCCACTCTCCAATTCCCTCTTCGTCTTCAATTCCATTAAGCAATGAGCACAACTTCTGTTGGAGTGTTAGTCTATCACGTGCTGATTGAATATATAGTGTGTTTTTAGTTTTGGAATTGCAAGTGCTTTTGCTACTGTTACAGTGCTTTTAAATTTTCAAAAGTGATTTTTTGTTAATTTTATGTTAGGGGATTTCAAACCTTGAAAGTGCTCTTGAAGAAGTGACATGGAGAAGAGGTGTTTTTTTGTAAAAGCACTTGATTTATGTGAAAATAGCAAGAAAATTGGAAAGGGAAACAGCTGCTCAAATAATTAAAGTTAATCAAGGGGTGTTTTCAAAAAATGGTTAACTGCTAACCAAACCGAATCTTCGGTTTGGTTAGAAACCAGTTCAAGGGGCATTTTGGTTGGGTTTCGGTTTCAAATACTCTTTGAACCGAAAAACCAATTCGGTTTGGTTAATCAGTTTTTTGCAACCCTACCCAAAAGGCTAATTTATTAGGAGGAGAGACTCCACCCTTTATAAACCCAAGACCACCCAAAAGACTAACCTATTAGGTGAAGGTATTCCTCTCTTATAAACCCAAGCCCCCAATTTCCCTTTCAATGTGGGATATGTGACATTCTCCCCCACCTAATCCTGTGACACCCCCATCACAGGTGAGGCCCCCTACCTGCTCGTCCATCTCACCCTTAAGTGGATCCACAATCACAAGTGGATATCCTTCTGCGTGGGCGCTTGGTAGGACACTAAAAGATGAATGAAGTTTGCTTTGATACCACTTGTCATGGGTTGGGAGTTTCACACCCAAAATGTGTTATATTAGGTGGAGAGACTCTCACCCTTATAAACCCAAGACCCCCCATTTCCCTTCGAGATATGTGACAAATGGCTAATTAAGAAAATTGACAGAAGCTCAATCTTTATTGGACTTTGTACACTCGGTTTACCAACACTATTAAGCAAAGGTTTTGCTCATTTATTGATTCCTTTGTTAGAGAAATGGAGCTGGTAGCCCATTCACTGCTTCCAGTCGCCAAAGTAGAATCTGTTCACTCATTCCCAATGATACCTTACTTCCTTGTCAAGCTTAGAATTATAAACATCAAGTTCAGATGAGTGGCATTGTCATTCTCCATGGTTGCCACATGCTACAATGTCGCAATGGTGGTTTCACTTAGCATGCCTTGATTAAGCAATAAAAAATTGAAGTTGTTCCAAATAATTTGGTTTGGTATTACTATTGCCCTCCTACTTAACATTTTGGTCATCCATCTGGTGGTTTCTTGGATGTTAAGGAAGAATCCTAATGGTGAGCCATTAAGACAGGAGTTCATAACTTGGATAATTTTAGCAGTTTTAGTTACAGGGTTTTGTAGTCATGCTATGGGATTAAACTAGCATATTGGCTTTCTTATTCTTGGAATAACTTTACCAACAGGGCCACCATTATGCTCCCTGTTGATGGAGAGGCTTCATCTAATCACTTTTTGGGTGTTTTGCCACAATATTATGCCAGAATTGGTCTGCTGATAGATATCTATTCCATTTAAGAGAAAAACTTCTTAGTAATTTCAAGCGTTGTATTAATTGCTAAATCTGGAAGTTTACATGAGCCTTTTTATCTTCACTCTACAGCCAAGCGCCAAAGAGAGATGCAATATCGCTTGGCCTAGTCATGACTTTCCAAGGTTTTGTTGAGCTTAACTTTTTTTAAATCATGAGAATCAGAAAGGTACACACACAAAATACACACACACACATTTGAAATTAGTTTTAACAATCAAATTATTTTGTAATTAATCATACTTTAGTAACACTAATCTAAAATCTTTTTAATTTGTTTGTGTTGGTATTTGTTGGAGAATACTAAGGAAGAAAGAGAGACTGTAGGGAGAAGGTTATTACTAAAGTTTTCATTACCCATTCATTTACACAATGGGGGAAGTTTTATACACAAATTGTCCACTGTTACACCTACTTTGCAGTGGATATTTTTACAAACACAATCCTAACCATTCAAACTTAACTAATGCAAGTACATTACATTAAAAATGAGCCTTAATCACTGGTTGCATTCACCTAAACTATCACATAAACATTTCAAAAATAGCAGCTCCACCAACTGCTTTAGCACAACAGGTTTTCAAACTTAGTGTCAAAAAACTTACATCTTCAACCAACAACATTTCTTCATTTTCCAGTAAAATATCACTACCATCAACACTCCTTGATATTTTTGTTGGAAACACCAGGTTTAAGTCTTAATTCTTCAAACTTGGTTTTGCTCAAAGCTTTAGTTATGATGTCTGCAATTTGCTCTTCACTTTTGCAATGCACCAGATCAACTTCTCCATCTTGTTCAACTTCCCTCACAACATGAAATTTGATCTCTATGTGCTTTGCTCAACCATGTAATACTGGATTTTTGGCCATAGCCACTGCTAATTTATTATCACAAAGGATAACTATAGGATTACATTGTTTCAACTTTAATTCATCTAAAATCTTCCTTAACCAGATTGCCCGATTCACAGCAACTACAGTAGAGATGCACTCTACTTCAATCGTGGATTGAGCTATAGTCTCTTGTTTCTTGGATAACCAACTAAATGCTCCAAAATTCAAGAAGAATACATATCTAGAAGTGCTTCTTGTGTCATTAACTGAGCTAGCCTAATCACTATCTGAGTAACCTATTAAATTGAACTTTTCAAAGCTTCTAAACCAGATTCCAAGTTCTATAGTGCCTTTGACATACCTTAGCACTCTTTTGGTAGCCTTGACGCATATCTCACTAGGCTTATTCATGAATCTAGATAACAGGCTGGTGGTGTACATGAGATCACGTCTTATTGTTGTTAGATACAGCAAGCAACCTATTAGCTTTGTATACACACCTTCATCTATCTTCTCTGCATAGCTTTTGGCTTTGAACCAATGGAGTATCCAATGGCTTGCAGTTATCCATGCTGAATTTCTTTAAGACTTCATAAGCATACTTCCTTTGACACACAAATATGCCATTTGGAGCTTGATGTACCTCCACACCAAGGAAATAACTAATTTCTCCTAAGTCTGTCATATCAAACTCCATTTGTGTTGCATTTTTTAACTTCATTAGTTGGTTAGCATTACTTCTAATTACCAACAGATCATTAGCATAAAGAGAAACAATGATCATCTTACCATTTTGCTTTCTTACATGGAGAGTGTGCTCATTTGGGCTCCTAATATAATCCAGGCTACATAAATACTCATTAATCCTGCTATACCAGGCTCTAGGAGCCTGTTTTAAGCCATACAAAGTCTTCTTTAGCAGATATACTTTGTTTTCTTTTCCCTTGATTTCATGTCCTTCAAACCACTCTATGTATACCTTTTCATCTAACCACCCATTAAGGAAAGTAGATTTCACATCAAGTTAGAAGATTTTCCACTTGAACTAGGCTACCAATGCAAGAAGTCTAATGGTACCATGCCTTGCCACTAGAGCAAAGGTGTCTGAAAAGTCCACTCCATACTATTGTACAAAGCTTTTGATAACAAGTGAGACTTTGTACTTGTTCACAAACCCATCAAGATTCAATTTTCTTTTGAATATCCACTTCACTTGTATCACCTTCATGCTTGCAGGTTTGTCAACCAGCCCCCAAGTGCCATTTTTCTCTATCATGGTCAACTCCTCCTTCATTGTAGCTTTCTAGACCTTTGATTTTGTATCCTCGATGTAGCATATAGGTTCTAATTCAGCTACACTACACCTTTCATATATTTTAGACAAGGGCCTGATACCTGTAAAAGGTGTTTCATCTTCTGCATCTGAATCTCCCTCATTGTTCTGATTTTCAGGAGTTTTACTTTGCTACAAGCTTGATTCCACCTCAACCTATTGACTCTCTCAGTTCCACACAACCATTTCATCAACTCTGACATCCCTACTGATCATTATTTATTTGTTATTTGGATTATAAATTATGTAGGCTTTAGATTGATTGATGTAACCAATCAAGATGCCTACTTCCACCTTTTCATCCAGCTCACTTCTTTTGTTGGCTGGGACATAAGTGTAGCATACACTACCAAACACCTTCAAGTGATCTACCATCAGCTAACTCCATACCAAGCCTCAAATGGTGTTTGATTATCAAGAGCTTTGGCTAGGAGTTTATTGAGGATGTATATACTAGCATTTATAACTTCTGCCCAAAAGGCTTTTGGCAGCTTCTTCTAAACCATCATACACTTGGCCAGCTCCATGATTGTCCTATTCTTTCTCTCACTAACTCTATTCTGCTGTGGGGTGTAAGGGTTACTGAATTGGTGCATAATTTTAGCTCCCATACATACCTCTTCGAATTCATTAAAGGTATATTTAGTACCATTATCACTTCTAACTGATTCAATTGTCAAACCAGTTTAATTCTCAACCAACAACTTGAGCCTTTTAAACATGACAACAACCTCACTCTTCTGATTCAGAAAGTAAACCCAAGTCATCCTAGAGTAGTCATCTATAAACAAGATGAAGTACTTGCTTCCACTCAAGGATGCATTTTGCATTAGGTCACACACATTCGTGTGTATAAGCTAGAGTCTTTCACTTGCTCTCCATGCTTGGTTTACTAAAAATGGTGGCTTGCTGAATTTGCCTAGCTGATAAGTATTGCATAAACCTTTCCTTTGTTCTGTTTCGGACAGATTTTTGACAAGGATTTTGTGCTTAAGCTCCTTAAGAGCATTATAATGAAAGTGTCCAAATCTTTTGTGCAATAAATCAAATTCATCTACACTAGCTAAGTGATTTTGAAAAACAGTTTTCCCCCACTTTATAGGAAAGCTCTTTCCCAGCATCCTAACTCTCATTAGCTTACTACCATCACACTCCAAAATGACACATGATCAATCTTGAAAATGCAAAGAATAGTTTTTCTCTAGCATTTGTCCTACACTGAGTAAGCTTTGACAAATTTTAGGAACATATGAGACATCAACTCTATGTTTGGTACTTGTTATGGTTTGGACAAAAACCTCTCATTTGCCTTTGACATCTACAAGATCACCATTTCCCACTTTCACCTTGGACTGGTAAGCTTGATCCAAGTCTAGGAAATTGTTGATGTTAGGTGTCATATGATTGGTGCATTCGCTATCAATCAGCCACACATCTGAACAGGTGCTAACAACACAACATGAAACCACAAATAGTTGCTTAGATTCATGAGTTTGTTGTTGGTTCTCCATAGCATTTGCTTACTAATTTTGTTGGTTCCCTTTGTTTTTACAGACTTTTTCAATGTGACCAAATTGTTTGCATAACCTGCATTGTATGTCAAGTCTGAACCAACAATGATTTTCGGCATGGTTCTTCTTCTTACAGTGAGAACAAGGAGGATAAGTCTTTATTCCACCATACTTTCCTCCTTGGTAATTGGCCTTTTCTTTCCCTTTTTTCTTTCCAGCATATCTCTTGTTTCCACCTTGGAACGTTGCTCCCTTTTGACTTGCTACCATGACTTCTTCATTTGAATCTTCTTGTCTTAATAACCTTTTTTGCTCTTGAGCTTGCAAAGCATGGACAAGCTCATCCAATGTCATTTGAGACAAGTCTTTAGAGTCTTTGAGAGATTTTTGCCTCAAACCTCTCTAGTAAACTGACAAGAACTTTCTCAACTATTTTATTGTCTGTCAACACTTCACAAAGCAACTTGATATTATTAACAACATTCATGAGTCTATCTACATATTCCTTGACAAACTCAGCTTCTTGAATTTTGAGAATTTCAAATTCTCTCTTCAAGTTAAAGATTTGCATATTCTGGTCTTGTCATTTCCTCTAAACTCCTCCTTAAGCTTGTCCCAAGCTTATTTGGAAGTTTCACAAGCCATGATCCTAGTAAACACTTGGTATGTAACTACAGAGTGAATACATGATAGGGCTCTTGGAGCTTTTGCCACATCTTCTTCATGGATCCTAATTTGGTTTAGTGTGAGATTTTCCCTCAACTAAGGTGGTTACTTTTCCTCTTCCACGTATTGCCACAAACCATGACCTTTTAAGAAAGTTTTCATCGTAAAAACCCATACATGGAACTGATCTCCATTGAAAACAGGTGGAAAAAGTGAAGATAAAGTTGATGCCATGAAGGTGGTTTCAAATGGTGTTGAGTGTTGTTAAGGAATTTTGTTTTCAGGTCTTGGAAGATTATGGTGAGCTGTGATACCACTTGTTGGTATTTGCTAGAGAATGCTAAGGAAGAAAGAGAGACTGTAGGAAGAAGGTTATTACTAAAGTTTTCATTACCCATTCATTTACACAGCAGGGAAAGTTTTATACACAAATTGTCCATTGTTACACCTATTTGCAGTGGATATTTTTACAAACATAATTCTAACAATTCAGACTTAACTAATGCAAGTACATTACATTAAAATGAGCAGCTCCACCAACTGCTTTAGTGAATATAAAACTATTGTGTTTTCACAGGCAATGCAATATGCATCTGCTAAAGCTATCTGGAATGGATTATTTGGAGTCAACTGGCCATTGTTTAAACCAAATGACGGTATTGCCATGTTCATTATGGTTCCAATTATGAAGTGTATAAATAGGTAATGCAATTTAACATAATATAGGATGTTAGTCTACTTCCTTTGAATCATTGAAGGAGACTCATCACGATCAACACGAGTCCAACAATTTATGAACTATATTTATGATGTTGAAAACAGGTAAAAAGACTAGCTTTCACCTTATATAATAAGTTATATTAAATTTCTCTTCAATTTGTTAAGCCATTCTGCAAATAATTTTATTTTTTTTGTGAGTGCCTTGATGTTTAATCTGTTTAAATTTTTTTTTTTTTTTGGTCAATTTAAGAAAACTACTTCCATTGTACTGGAATTTCCAACGAAACTTGATTGGTTGAATATAGCTCCCCTTCAATTTCACAGGGTAAATGATTTAACTCAAATTTATAGAATTTAATTAACCTTCCAAATAAATATAATTGAGTTTATAGGCTGTCAAACATATTACTTCTTCCCCTTAAATTTGCTTGGAGCCAAAGTGGTTGCATGTTTTTCAAACTATGTATCCTAATATAGCAATGAGATTTATGTGAGGGCAATGATTCTTTTTCATATCTAATTGAGTCAAATACAGAAAATTTGCTTGTTTTTATAGCTTTAGTTCTGAACTACTTCAACTTTTGTATAGGATTTGAAAGGAAAAGTGGTCGTGCTTGATTTTTGGACTTACTCTGTATAAATTGTGTGCATGTGCGACCGGATTTGGAGTTTTTGGAGAAAAAATACAAAGACAAGCCAGTAAAATTCTCTTCAGTTATTATATATGAATCTCTCAATTGTTTGAAGTCTCTCCTTTTTGGGGTTATGCTTTTGGTGAATTACTCAAACAGTTTTGTGAGTTAACGTTATGTAACAGGTTAGAGAGGGAAAGAGAGAGAGAGAGAGAGAGGCAATATAACCATGAAAGATGAAATTGCAAGATTGATTGACTTGGGTGGAGGGGAGTACATGGAAAGTTTCCATTACGAAAAATCATTTATACTATTTTTCTGACTATTTCCATCAGTGTTTGGTTTTCCATGTTGTACTGGCAAGTTGAGCTATATTCATTTTCACACGACAAACTTCTCTGGATATAAACTTCCATGGCATATTAAATTGAGTGTATAATTATAACATGCATCCTCTATATATAATTCTAAATTTTAAATGTTGCTAACTATTACACAAGTTTAACAAATAACAAAAGCGTATTTAGCTGGATAATAGTGCATGACACTTGGCTTTGTACTATGAAATATTGCTTAACATTCATATCTACTAATGATAGTTATTTGACTGATTGACGAGTTGATTGGTCTCACTATTGAACCTTGTTCTAATACATGATTGTTTCATATGTGTTTTACGTTTGTACAGTTCACTATTGTAGGAGTACATTCAGCTAAGTTTGATAATGAGAAAGATTTGGAAGTCATTCGTAATGCAATGCTACGCTATGGCATAACTCATCCTGTAAATGTACTGCTTGAAACATGGTGTGGGAAAATTCATGATTGTTCTCTTATGTATTATGGATATAGCAAAGCTTATTGGTTGATAACATTATGACTTGAGTAAAACTAAACCTAACTTTCACTCACTTGACATATAGAGAACCAGATTCTTTAATCTAGTTTACTTGAAGCTATCCCTAGGATCCATATGCCTTTGTGGGTTACACAATATGTGATTCTTGTTTTGACATTCATAAGCACGGTCTTTACATGTAAAGCATCAAAGTGCAATACCAATATATAATCGAGAAGTTTAACTTTAGCTAAAGGAAACAACAGCTTACACAATTTATTCAGAAGAAGTTTAAATTCATAAGCATGGTCCATTTATTAAAACTGGAGCATAAGTAATAGTACAATTTGTAAAACCACAACATCTATATTAAAGGAAACAACAGAGAAAGAAAGGAAAAATGGTAGTACATTAAATTATAGAAAAGAATTACGTAGTAGAAAGATAGTAGCTCATAGCGTGGAGCATTCCTATTGCAGGGGAAGTTTCTCTGAAGACAGTTCAATATAGGGAGAATAATAGCAAGCACAGACAACATTACTAATTATCTTTGTTAAAGCAACATATTCCATTGTGGAGGGTTTCTTCTCTCTC